CACCAGCCCATATTTTTTTAATCATTAAAATGAATAAAAATATTTTAAAAACCTGAAATCTCCAAATAAACCAAAGTAAATCTTTTCTCTTTATAAGCTTATTATCTCAAGTGTTGATTATAGTAACAGCAAGTTGACTAACATTCATATGCCTAGTAACTTGGGGATATATACTATTTAATTATTTTGAGACAGGGTCTCACCACATAGCTCAGGCTGGCCTCAAACTTGCCATATATCCCAGGCTGGCCCTGCATTCTCAGTGATGCTCCTACTTCAGCCTCCCAAGTGATGGGATTACAGGCCTGTGTGCCACCACGCCTCACCCTTGTCAGCCGCCTGGAACCTGTTAGGTTTCTCCATATATCAGGCAGGTTACAGAGATCCCTCAGTTGCTGAATGGCGCCAAGCTCAAACTTGCCACTCCTTGAACAGCAAAGTTAAAACACAAAAACAAAAAATATCTGTTAGGTGTTCATAACTCTGCTCAATAGCCAACCCAAAAATCTGACTTGAAAAATCCTGTGTGTGCCAAGAACGAGCTATCACAGACGCAGAGCTGTGATACTCCAGCCTGAGAGCACAGAGAGTGCCTGTGTAGGTGAGTTAACAAAAATATTTGTCATTGTTCTTTTTCTTTTTGTGTTTTACTTGTATAAAATACAATCATGGTACCAAAGAAGGTTAGTGATGCCACCAGGAAAGCTATGAGAACTCCGACAGAGTTAAGGAAATCATTCTGAAATTTATTAAAGTTCTGGAAAATGAACTTATAAGTGTGATCTTGGGGCCCCAGAACCAATTATTTGCTTTCCCATTATTTCTCACAGGAGAAATATGTTCAGTTTGCAAACTTTTTGGTGTTTGAAAACAAATTTGGACTGACTCCAGCTCGACAACTGAGGTATCGCAGCCTGTGCCAAGTCCATTTCTCTCTCCAGGGCCGTCTCCTCCAGATTTCCCCTTTCACCTTCCAGTTGGTATTTCAGTCAGGAAGACGAGGTTCCTGTCAGATTCTGGGGACTCCCTCAGGCACTGGCCTGGGCCTGCCCTCAGGTGAAAACTGAAAAAAAAAAAAAAAAAAAAAAAAACGACAGACTGACCGGGCCACCCCTTGCTTCCTAGATCCACTCCCTCTCTTCTGAGGCCTTTGGTCACGTTCCAGAGCCTCTGGATATTTGTTCAGTTGTAGTCTCTCCAGAGTTTATCGTCATTACGTGAGGGAAGGTTGTCCTCATGGGATAGGCTCCGCCATTCCTGGGAGCAAAGCCTCCGCCAGCCTTGCCTTTTTACATCTTCCTCAGAAGTCTGTCCTCTAGCCATAGTCACTTATCCAGAAGTCTCGGGAACAGTCCTCACTTGTCCCTGGGCCTTTTTACATGCTTCTTTTCTGTTTCTCCAACCCTTAGCCAAGGATCTTTTATTCATTCTTATAAATTTTATCAGTTGGAACTGATTTAAAGTAATAGAAACTTCCTTGCAGGAAGCCAAACAAGGGACAAGAGAGGATTTAATGTAAAAAGAAGAGATACCCCAGGGGAACCTAAAGACAGAGATCCTGCCAGGCCACAAGAACCAACCCAAACCAAGCAGACACAGGTGTGCTGGTGCACACCTGTAATTCCAGCGCTCAGGAGCCTGAGGCAGGAGAATCACCACAAGTTCAAGGCCAGCCTGGGCTACATAATGAGTTTTAGGCCATCCTAGACTACACAGTGAGAACCTGTGTCAAAAGACCAAAATCAACAACAACAACCAGGCAGACCATTTCATTGGGGCTTTACCTCTCACGCTTGTTCTCTGTCCTGCTGCAGGGCTCCCACATTTAGAAACCTAGTATCTCTCCTTGGGCAGCTCTGCTCCTGCCTGTTTTTCTCCTTTCTTCCCCTCTAGATCATATGTTCTTTGAACATAGGACTATGCCTTTATTGATTTCCTCACCCCCGGAACTTAGTAGAGTCGCTCAAGGCAGACAAGTGGATTGACCTTTGACGCACACCCCAGCAGGCATTCAAAGAGACAGAGTTCTGTGGGAGTCAGGGAGGAGCGGCTTTCCTATGTGGGCAGTCGTGGGGCTTTAGGAAAGAGATTCAGGTGTTTCTTGGCCCATGATTGGGGTCCAAAGGGAACCCCATAACATGTAGAAATTTCCTCCCCTCCTGTTCCACCTTCCCCACTTCCTTCTTCTCCCACTCCCTCCCTCTCTTCCCACAATACTGGGGATTGAACCCAGAGTCTTGAACATACCAAGCAAGTGCTCTAATGCTGAGCTACACCTTCTGCCCTATTTGTTTCTTTGTTTATGATACTGAGGCTTGAACCCAGAGCCTTTGAACAGAAGCAACATCCCCAGCCCTTTTAAATTCCTTGCTAAATCACTAAGTTGCCCATGCTAGGGTGTGCATGAACTTGCAGTTCTCTGGCCTCAGCCTCCCAGAGTGCTGGGATTATAGGCAAGGGAGACCACACTCAGCTCCTCTACCTTTTTACATTTTTATTTTGAGACACAGTCTTTCAAAGTTGTCCAGGCTGGCCTGAAATTTGCGATCTTCTTGCCTCAGCCTCCTGAGTAGCTGGGATGATAAGCATGTGCCATCAGTCTGGGGTCATGCTGAGACTCCCCTAAAAACCCTCACTCCTCTGGGTCTCCAGCAAAGCAAAGAGATAGCCTGCAATGGATTTCTGCACACCCCTGGATGCGAGGGAAAGGAACAAAGACTCGTGGGGCAGGGGTCTTGGCAGTATTTCTCTGATATTCCAGCCACTTGAGATTCCTCTGTTTCTCTTTTCCATCTTGGAGCCTTTCAACATCTTCTCTTAGTTTAAAAAGTAGCCAGCTCAGAGGCTCAAGAGCCTGCCTGGCAAGTACAAAGTCCTGAGTTGGATACCCGGTAGCAACAACAACAAAAAAGTGTCCCCCGCCCCCCTCCCTTGGACTAAACTGTCAAAGCCGATGTCACTTTCCAGAGGGGAAGGCGGTTTCCCTTTGTCCCGGTTGGGGCAGCCTTGGGGCGGCTCCTTCCCCCAGGCACATCCCCCACCCCGCCCCGAGGCAGCCTGGTTCAAGGACGCTGCTGCCCCCTAATGGCAACAATCGTGAATGCAGATTCCGCCACATCTTACTACATACTGGAAGGCAAAGGTACTTGCGTTCAGTTTCAGAGATCAGTGCAACTTTCTTATTTTAAAAAGAAAAAACAAGGCATAAAGTCAGGGAAGAGAATTTTCCAGTGGCCTCCGGTTAGCCAGGGTGGCTCTGCCCTGCTGTGTGGTGGAGCTGTCTCCTTCTTAGCTTGCTTCTGTCCTTCTGGAGCGCCATGCTGACCAATGTAATTGGTCTCAATTGTTTCTGTGTGACCTAGGCTTTTGTTTTTTCTCAAGTGTGCTCAAGATACAGCTCTCCGAGAAACATGTTGTTATAATTAATTAATTAATTAATTAATTTCTGTGCATAGCATTGAACCCAGGACCTTAAAAGCATACTAAGGACCCACTATACTACTGAGCCTCCACCCCAAGTATATTTCGGCAGAGTCTCATTAATCTCAGCTTCCTGGACTTAAGCGACCCCCCTGCCTCAGCCTTTTGAGTAGATGAGACTATAGCTCTGTGTCACGGTGCTTAGTTCCAATAGCATTTAAAAAAAAAAATTTATGTTAATTAACCTAAGAGTTAATCTTTTTTTTTTTTTTTTTTTTTTTTTTTTTTTTTTCCTGCTAACAGGGATTGAACTCAGGACCTTGCGCTTGCCAGGCAAGCACTTATTCCATTGCACTATCTCCCTGGCCCCAATAGCATGTTTGATTCATGTGGATAAACCACTTTTTTTTTTTTGTACTGGGAATTGAACTCAGGACCTTACATTTGTCAGGCAGGTGCTCTGCCACTCAGCTATATCCTTGGCCCAAAACAACTATTTTTGAAGAGTGAAGAGTATTTTAAGAAAAATTTTCTCAGCTTTTTAATTTTAAAAGTTTCTCAAATTTTAATATGAAAACCAAAATATGTATAAAATTTGTATGCATAGGAAAATAAATGTCCACATATACTCCATCAAGATTCATCAGTCATTAACATTTTACCTAGCAGTTCCCTCTCCCCCATATATAATATTTATATCTGTATGTACATACACACATATACTCTGTTCATATACAGGTACACATACATGGGTTTCACTGAACCATTTAAGAATTGGTGGTAGGCGTCACTACAGATGGCCTCATCTGCATTTTTCCCATACAAACACTGCATGATTATCACAGTCTTACAATACTGTTAGCTAATAACCATCCATATATATATATGTATTTCTTCCATCATTTGTTATATCCTGTACAGTTGGATGAGCCTGGGGCCTTCACACTGAGTTACATCCCCAGCCCCTTATTTTTATTTTTAAATTTTGAGACAAAGTCTTGCTAAGTTGCCCAAGTTAGGCTCAAACTTGGCTATTTTCCTGTCTCAGCCTCCTGGAGTGCTAGGATTTCAGGCATACGCTACCATACCAGGGCAATAGTTGGTGGGTTGGGTTTTTTTGTTTTGTTTTGTTTTTTGTTTGTTTGTTTGTTTGTTTGTTTTAAATCCAGGATCTGGCGAACAACCATGAATTGCAATTTTTATTTTTATTTTTTTTCATTACTGGGGATCGAACTTGGGATCTTGCACTCACCAGGCAGGCACTAAGGCTACTGACCTATCTCCCCAGCCCCATGAATTGCATTTTTTAAAAAAAATATTTCCTTTATTTATTTTTTTCTTTTTTATGGTCAGCTCAGCCCACCCTGGGGGCGGGGCTGGCATAGCATGTAGTGCTGGGGATGGAACTGAGGTCCCCGCATGCTTGTCTAAGCAGGCACTTTAGACCACTGAGCTATCTCACCCGCCCATGAATTGCATTTGATTGCCACTTGTTTGGCCCCTAAATCTAAAATTTCCAGGCTGTATCTTTGAAGAATCCAGGCTAGTTGTTCATCAGAATGGCCTAATGTAAATTTAAATTTGTCTATATTCTTCACAGTTAGATTCAAATTAAACGCTTACTTTTTTGAGGGAGTATGTACGGCCACTTGCACAGTGCTGTGGATGCCTGTTTATTTCACTGCGCCCATTCCAGGTTTGAGGAAGTCCTGGGCCTTCCATACCTCACGCCTGCCTGTGTTGAGGGGAGGGGGAAGGTGTGCATCTCAGTCCTGGAGCCTTAGCTCCCTGAAACCGGGCTGAGCGGAAGGCCCAGGGAGCAGAAAAACGAATCACAGCTTCAGTCTGGGCACAGTTCACTGATGGGGTAGCTGCAGGCTTTAGGGCACTCCTGCTGGGCATGAGGGATGGAGAAAGGACTTCTTCGCACAGGTGGCTGAACAGCTCCTCCACTGAGGGTCACCTGTCGCTCTGCGCAGTTTCTGTGGGTGCACCTGGAAGGGAAATGAGGGTTAAAGGAGGTGGCTGTACCAGGGCAGTCCTAGGGCAGGGTTAGCAAGGAACAGGCATGCCGCGCTAGGCAGGGTGGGGGAGGACACGCCTATGCTCCCAGCACTCGGGAGGGGGAGGCAGGAGGATTGCTGTAAGTCTGAGGCCAGCTTGGGCTGCATAGTGAAACTCGTCTAATAAAAACAAAACAAAAATAGGTTGGGAAAGAAAAATGAAAATAAAATTTAAAAAACAAGTGAGGGGCCAGGGAGATGGCTCAGTGGGTTAAGAGCTTCCCTGGCAAGGGCAAGGGCCTGAGTTTAATTGCCGGTTCCACCAAAAATAAATAAATAAATAAATTAATTAATTAAATTAAATTAAATTAAAAAGAATGAGAAACAAAGGGGACAATGCGCACACACACACACCAGAGAGGGAGAAAAATGTGAAGAGACTGAGGCACACACAAGAGGAGCCAAAAGACTCAGACACACAGGCCCAGGGCACAAAGAGAGCAGCAGCACCTTCTTCATTGGCGGGGTCACCTGCTCAGGTTATGCTTTTCCAAACAGAACTCTTTCATGCCCAGAAGCCAGGCCCTGGGCCAGAAGTTTCCTGTTCTGCTCAGGACATCTGGCCTCTTCCCAGGGTCACCAGCACACAGAGAAGCCTCCTTGTGACACATTTGGGGCAGAGGAGGAGCCAGAAAGAGACAGACAGAAAGAAGGAGGACAGGAAAGAAAGCGCTATAAATAGCCTCCCTCTAGAGCAAGGAATCCAGGACCCCAGGAGCTGCCCAGCAGGGTGACAGAGCTAGTAACCCAGGCCAGGGCTTTCTCGTGAGAACAAGGGGTGAGGGGGGCCACCCAGTTCCTTAGGCAGGCAGGGGACACGCTGCCTCAAGGGTTCGGCCCGGGCCAAATTTCTCTGGAAGCTCATGGACAAGGGCTCCAGTAGAGGAACTTGGGGTTCCCAGGGGACTTTGTGGCCATAAAGTGCAACGTCTGAGCTTTTCTCAGGCAGGAAGTAAAGACCACGGAAAGCGCAGAGTCAGGGCTCTTCTGGCCTCGCAGCTGAGCCCAAATGCAGAAGCCCCTCTCGAACCCAGCGGAGAGCCATCCCGGCCCACACGGCTCACCCGGGAGGGGGAGGGGCGTCAAGGGGCGGGACAGGACTTCCCGCAGACTCTCCAGCCACTCGTGCTGCTCCTTCTCACTGGGGCAGGTGAGGATGAATCTCCTTTGCGGGGTGACGATGGTGAGGCCAGCCTTCCAGCGGTTCCCCCGGACGCCCTTGGGCAGGTCTTCGTGTACTTCATATCCTTGCTCCTTGCTCCCGAGAAAAACCTGGCCCTGCTCGAAAGCATCCTGGCAACCAGAAGGCACCCGCTCATCGAAGGGGGCCCTGGGGCAGAGGGATCCCTGCAGCCCTGACAGCCCCCAAGCTCTATTATTGGCAAAGCGTGTCACTACTAGGATTTGTGCTAGATTAGAATCCTAAAATAAATGAAATATCATGTGTTGAAAAAAATCATTAAGGTTTAGGGAGAGCTCACTGAGAAGCAGGAATCACACGCTTTGTGCGTGGCATCTCTGTCCTCATCGCGATGACCTCCAAGCAAGAAATTGAAACAAAGGCTTTTTCACAGGAAGAAACTGTAGCCATTCCAATGGCAGGGCTGAGGCCACAGCCAGACCCCTGGCTCCCAAGCCTACACCACTAAGCACTCTTACCTGCAGTGCAGGCCAGAAATCCCAGCCCTCAGGACAAGCCCTGACCTGGATACCTTGGGGAGTAGTTCTTACCAGGGGGTTCTTATAATACAGCAGCCTCCGCTCCTGGGGATCCAGGGCAAACCATCTTTTCTTGAAAGGTTCTTTCTGCTGCAAAAGAAAGACTTTTAGGGGCTGGTGAGATGGCTCAGTGGTCTAAAGCACCTACTTAGAACAAGCTTAGCAAAGCACAGGGACCGCGGTTCAATCCCCCAGCACCACATGCCAGCCAGCCCCGCCCCCTGGTGGGCTGAGCTGGCCACGCACACACATAAATAAATAAAATTTAAAAAAAAAAAAGAAAGACTTTTACCAGGATAGCAAAGCAGGGGACAGAGGCAGGGACCAGCTCAGGCCAAGCCTAGCCAGCGGCCAGATCCCCTGGTTCTCAGTCCCCAGGCTTCCGTGGTCAGACCCCTGGTGCTTCTCCCTACACCCTGGTCAGGCTCTCACTCTCCAAGGCCCTGCCAATCCTCCAGGCCTCTGGCGCCCACCCTGCCCACTAGGCCCTGCTGCCTCCGGGGGTGGCCTAGGGTTGGAAGGGACACTTCCCTCTTTTATAGGCTGTGAACAACTAAGTCTTAGAAAAAGGAAGCTGGGAAAATCCGAAGTGGCTACTGCTGGGTGAGGCTGACAGTGCTGGCCAGGGGCAAGTTCTAACCTAGGTCAGGAGAGAAGAGGTCCCCGCCCCGAGCAAGAGCCCTGGAGGGGGCTGTGCCTGGCTGGCAAGGAAGGAAGTTTTGCAAACTGCACGGCTATCTTTCATCTCCTAACACTTTCACTCTCTTTCTAATAATTATCATATAAACACATTAAACTTTAAAGCAAACTACAATGTTGCCACTTCTGGAGACTTTTAGGGGGCATCTCTGCTTTACCCCTCCCTGTCCTCTCTTCCACACTCCCTGCTGTGATCACCAGGGGGGACCCCATCTGGCCAGACTTTTGGCTTTGAACTTGATCCCCACCCCAGCTCAGCCTCCTGGGTCCGCTGCCCAGTGGCACACATAAGTGGGCACAAACAGGCCCTGCAGCCCCCTCAGCAAGGGGGAGCCAGGCTGATTTGAAGGCAGTGAGGTCATGATGGAGGAGGTGGCATACAGGGACCTTGCTGCCACCCAACACGGTGCCTGTGTTCCCTCAGGCCAGGCACAGTCCCTGTCTCCCTTGGGCAGTGCTGGTGGGCATTGGGCACAGAGCGTCACGGGTTATGGAGCACCCTGAAGCTGTCTCCCCAGGGAGTCCCTCTCAGTTCCACTGTCCAGAGGCTGGGGTAGTTCCTTGAGTTCAGAGGAAAGGAGCTGGTGTTAAGGGACAGAGTTTTCCAGGGAAAGGGAGAGGGAGAAGCCCCTGGGCGATGAGGCACACACACCTGCTAAGCCCTCGGTCTGCAGGCAGTGCTTCATTCAGAATTCTCAGTTGGGGTACCTTCCTTTCTGTCCCTTTCCAGCCCTTCTTCCCCACTTCCTCACCTCCCAAATCCTGCCCTACTGGTGACAGATGGGGCCAGGGCCGGGGCCACATGCATCCCCCAAGGAGCAGTAGGATGTACCTTTGGACCAGTCTTTTCCATGAAGCCTTGTTTGAGATAGTTCCTGGTGATGAAGGGCACGAGCTGGTGGGGGGAGAGACAGATGCTGACCCCTCACTCACACACCACAAGGCAAGGTTCCCCAAAGACCGGGGCTCCCAGACACAAGGGAAGTGTGGAATGGGGAAGGATGTGTGTCCTCAGTGGCTGGGGTTATATTTGGGCCTGGCACCCGCCGTATATTCATATTTCAACAAAGCTGGGCAACAGCATCCCCGATGTGTGCAGAGCTTACCCGCATGGCCAAGTCATGGGGTAAGGACTTTGAGGACTCCTTCAGGCAAGGCTGTGAGGAGACCCTACTGGGATCAGGGAACATTGTCCCAGGCCTGCTGTGTGACAGGCTCTGGGTGCAATTCCTAGCCACCCTGGAAGTCTGAAAGGGGGAAAGCTGGGAGCCAGAAATGAAAATCTCTTCTCTCAAGATACATTAGAGAGGCTTCCTTCCTTGTCTGGCTGCTCCCCATTCTGAACCTGAGCCTGCACAGGGCTAGTTTAGGCCAAGGGGAAGATGGGAAGGAGGGACACAAGCAGGGTGGAGTATTCATTACCGTACCACAGGCCAGGGGCTCCTGGGATTCCCCAACAGCCAGGAGGTAACTATCACTCCTAGAGTCACAGACAGTACCCAGAGGCTCCTCCAGGTGAGATGGTCGCCTTCTACTTCAGAGTCTGTGTGCCCCCCTCTTTCTCTCCCTCCCTCTCTCCCTCTCTCCTCTTCCCCAGTTCTTAGGATTGAACTGAAAGCCTCACAAACTCTGCCCCAGCACTCAGCTGAGCTCTGCTCCCACTCTACTATGTGGGTTCCTGATTAAAGGACCTCAGATTCACTGTCTCCCAGAATTTCTGGCATCTTAAACCCTTCAGCCTGAGCCAGGCAAGGGTGATAGCCTGACACGGTGCACTGGGTGGGGTGGGAGGAGCCTGGGGATGGAGGGTAATGATGGTCACCGGGAGTAAGGGAATACTGAGGACACTGGCCAAAGACCAAGTTCCTACACACAAGTCAGCAAAGATGGGAAGCGGCCCAGGTTAAATAAGGCTGAGAATCTGCAAAGCTGTACTCTGCCCTCCCTTCCCCTCCCTCCTCATCAGCTGTCAGCCCTCTGGCCAGTGGAAGCCAGCAGGAACTGGTTCCAGGCACTGAGTCAGCGCACCAACCTAGATGACTGTGACCTCCATGGTTCTGACCTCAGCCTCTCTGGAGCTGAACCCAGGCAGCTGCAGGCCCCTTGCATCACCCTGTCCCAGACACGGAGCTCCCTGCAGCCTGGGCATGGAGGGGCATTTAGACTTTCAAGGAGTGTCCAAAATATATGTTTAAAAATCCCAGGATTAACACGTCCTCTCCACCCCAATCACTTCAAAACTCCCTTAGAGGAGCCTAAAGCAGGGATCAGATGATGGCGCCTCAGAATTGAAGCAACTGCCATCTTACCAAGATGAAACAGATGCTCAGAGAGGTACTGTCACCTGCAAGGGTCACACAGCAAGTAGGTGAGTCATGTCTGGAGACAATCAAAATGAGATTCTCAGCTGCAATATTCCCTGGGCCATCGCAAGCAGACCTGCATGTATTACCACTGTAATGAGAGGATCCCAAGACCTTGCAGAGACCGGAGACCAGGGGGCACAAGAAAGAGTGCCTTCAGTCATTTACCTGCCCTTCCCAGGACTCAGTTTCTCATGAGCTTTTACTAGGAACAATCATTCCATCCAACTGCTTGCTATAGGCGATGACTAGGTAAATGGATAACAAAATAAAATGGGCTAAAAGCACTTTGTAAGTAATATGTGGAAGTCATTTGAATAGGAGAAGAGGCCAGAAAAAGATGCCCAAAGGCTGAGTCCCTTGACATGATCATCCTCACGTGTTCCAAAATTGCTCAGCTTTTGGAGGCCGCTTTACCCTTAATCCTCCAGCATGCCTTGCACCAAGCCTTTGGCTTCTCTCTGAGGGGCTCAGCCCCCAAATCTCAAGACCTTGCCTGCAACAAACAGACTGTGATCTAGACAGAGAGAAAAATAGGTGGCAGAAGGCGGGGCCCACCTCCAGCTCACCTCAGCCTCCGGGAGGTCAGGAAAGGCCATTTTTAGATATTGTAGACGGGCTGCTCGGAGGGCGTTGAACCAGTCCACAATCTCCTAGAGAGGAAAACACAAAGGACACAGACAACTGGTGAGCCTGAGGTGGTGGGGGCTGATCCGGGTGGTGGGGTTAGGGTTGTGATACTTCAGGCTCATGTAGCCAGCACACGTCCACACTGCTGAGCTCCACCTAGGGCCATCCTGGAAGGGCTGTGTCACAGCCCGGGAGCCACCAAGCAAGTGGGAAGCCATGGAGAGGACTCAGGTGAGCTGCCTGGGAGGGCCACACAGTGGCTCAGGATGTGGCTTTGCCTTCTCTTTTCTTTTCCCTTCCTTTGTTTTTGTTTTTGTTTTTGTTTGTTTGTTTGTTTGTTTGTACTGGGGATTGAACCCAAGGCCTTGCACACACTAGGCAAGCTCTCTACACGCCCAGCAGCTTACCCTGCATCTTTTTTTTTTCTGGTCCTTTTAAAGCAGAGCTTCACTATGCAGTTCAAGCTGGTCTTGAACTTATTATGTAACCCAGGCTGGCCTCAAACTTGAATCAATGCCCCTGCCTCAGCCTCCTGGGTGCTGGTATTACAGGCATGCACCACCACGTCCAGGCTCCTACCCTAAATTCTTTAGCATGACTTGCTCTGCCCTCTGAACATCTTCCATAAGCAGCTGTCTACATCTCATGTGCCGCCCAACTTCCAGCACACCCTCTTCCCCCATCCTGGGACCCAGCTGCACACACACCTTCCTTACACACACACTATTTTGGAAAGTACAGGGGCTCAAACTTCAGGGACACTCTACTGCTAAGCAACACTGCCAGCTCTTTCTATTTTTTCACTTAAACAGGGTCACGCTAAAATTACTCAGGCTGGCCTTCAACTTGCAATCTTCCCACCTTAGCCCTCAGAGAACCCAGGATTACAGACGCGCATCACTACACCCAGCCAACACATACCTTTTACCTGGAGCATGCTGTTGTTCCTGCAGGTTAGTTTAGATGCTGTGGTAGATTTTTGAGTGATTGCTCAGCCCACAGCCTGCTTCTCTAAGAACTGCCCCACCATCCACACCCCATGCCTCACACTTGAAGCTCTATTCCCTAGGATGACCCTCCCACAGGAAGTGGGCAAGGGTTGGTAGTTGGCATAATACACAGGCTGAATTGGCCTTATCAGATCCTTTCTCCCAGGAATTTGGAATTGGGAGGCTGAAAGACCTGTTCAAATAGCTTCACTGTGGACTGAAACAATATATATTTGGATATAATACAATGACTGGGAAAGTTATTTGAATATGGTTTCAAAGAAAGTGAACAATTTTCCTTTCTCTGCTATAGGTCAAGGACAGGGGTCTAGTATCCCAGAGTTCTGTGGTCACTGCCCCAGGAGTTTTTAAGGAATACATGCATTCAAACTTTCATTTCACAAGGTCTCTCCTGTCATTTATTTATTTATTTATTTATTTAATTTTTGTGGAACTAGAGATTGAACTCAGGCCCTTGTGCTTGCCAGGCAAGCACTTATTCTACTGAGCTATCTCTCCGGCCCTCTATCATTTAATTTTATAAGATCTCTCCTGTTGGTCCTGGGGCAGTGATCAACATGTAAATGTTTGAACTTTCTCCCCCTTGCAGTTCAGGGAACTGAATCCAAGATCCTGCAAAGCAAGTGCTCTACCACTGAGCTCTACATCCTTAGCCCCTGCATACATGTTTGGTTCCTGAAATTTTGTTTATTTCAATTCTCTATGCAGGTTTTCCTGTTTGCCATAGACGCCATCCTTCTTAATAGCAGCCCATTTTACTTCTGAGTTTCCTATCTGGCTCCTGCAGGCATGAATTGGCAGCTGGCATTACTGGCCATCTAATGGCGAAGCTGGGGTCACAAGCCAAAGAGAAGAAAGGCCGGCCCCCGGTTGCCAGCTGCACTGCCCTGGCAAGTGGGAGGGCTCTGGGAAACTCAAGTGATCAAGACCCTGCACCTCAGCAGAAGTCCTCCTGGCAGGGCGTGGCACAGAGGGGCTGCCATTGGTGTCTGGACATAAGGGAGCAGCAGGGACACCCCCACCAACAGTCTGAGAACCAGGGATCCCTCTACACTTCCAAGACTGTGAAGGCCCCAAAATTTTGGTAAGATCAAGGAAGACACCAAGAAAGATGACAGATGTTTAGGTTTCTTGCTCATCTTCAAAGTGAAGCCGTTGAATTAGGAGAAAGAGTGTGAATTCACTTGAGCACTGGTGTTACGGGATAAGTTGTGCCTGTTAGAAAGAGCTCTCTTAGGGCTGGCCAAATAGCTCAGTGGATTAAAGCACCTGCTTAGGTAGACGCAGGGGCTGGGGGTTTGATCCCTGGGCCTGCTATGCTGGCCCTACACCCAGGGCGTGCTGAGATGGCAATGGAGACTGGGCATGGTGGCACACGCCTGTAATCCCACACTTGGGAGGCTGTATACAGGAGGATCACCATGAGTCTGATCTACACAGTGAAACCCTGTACACCCTGTACAACCTGTCCTAAAAGTACAAAAACAAAGTGCTCTCTCTCCCCCCTTTTCCCTCCCTTTCTTTATCTCTCTCTCTTCCTCCTTCACCCTCTCTTTCCTCTCATTTTCTTGTTCTCTCCCCTCCCCCTCTCAGTCTCTATCACACACCCATGCACGCATGCTCACACGCTCATACAGCTCCTGATGCTAATCTCTCAGCAGGCCCAGCCATACTCTAGCCCTTCAGATAAATACTTGTGCATTCTTCACACCCATTCCTCTGTAAGCCAGCTTAAGTGTTTGTATCACAATAATCAATTCTTAAATGGAAACTTCCCTCCAGAAAGCCCTCACAGAATGCACACACAGTGTGTTTTTTGCATGTCCCTAGTATGCCCACTGCCTGTCACATACCACGGTTAGCTCTGCTTCCCCAGTCTCCCTCTGCCTGGAGCCCCGAGGCGCTGCCCCCTTCCCCACCTGGCTCCCCAGAACCCTTGCCCCTTACATGGGCTAAACACATCCAGATTCAGTGAACATGAATTCACACATGAATCCAAGATATAGGCAAGACTGGCCACTGGCCTTGCCCTCGACATGTGCTGCAATCACGAGCAAAGGGCTCCAACAACGTGTGTAATGTACTCCAGGCTGATGAAATGCTGCCACATTCAGGGCTTGCGGCCACCCTACCATTCTAAAACTGTCTGAGAGGTGGGTATGAGAAGCCACAAACAAACCAAGAAACTCAGGAGGGAAAGGACCTGCCTTGGTGACACAGCTGAGAGCTGCAGAGCCCAGGCCCCAGACCCCTGCTCTTCAGACTGTGCCCCCAGGCACCTCCCTAGGCCACGGAGGAAACATGGGGCCCCCACCCTTGTGCAAGGGACCCTCAGGAAGGCCAAGTCCAAAGGTTCTCCAGCAGCAGAGGTCTGTGGGGTAGTCAAATGCTCACTGAGGTGTGACTCTGAGCAAGCTACTTAACATGTCCATGCCTCAGGGGTGAGGGGACATAACATGCGCGGGTCGTTCTGAGGAGTAAGACATGACACAAAGCAATCAGCAGCAGGTGCATCCTGCGCAGATCACAGCTGGGGCCAGCCCCCACTTCCCTCCTCCCCTCCCCCAGTTAGCATCCCTGTCCCCTCCCCAGGCTCCCATCCAGCCCATTCTCTTGGACCTGCTCTCCTGCCTGGGCTGATCTCCCCACCCACCTTCAGCATACATTATTGGGGAGGCCCTGTGAAAACCAGGAGGTCTGCTGCACCCGAGACTCCAGCTCTACCACACATCCAAGTAAAGCCAATGCTTTGGATCCAGGACAGCTGAAAGAAGCCAAGCTGCACCTGCCTGCCACCCTTCCTCCTCCCCTGTTCCGAATCTCTGGGCTGCCTGGGTTTGCCCTCGGGGGGCATGGTGCCTTCTGCCACCTGGACTGTCGCTGGTGGCTGTGCACTGTGCAAGTACATCCCCGGCACCTGCCGGCTTCCCGCCCCACATCCCACACTGCTTTCCTCATAGCTTGTCTCAGACACAGAAGTGAAAACAGGCAAAGGCCAGCAGCAGCAGCAGCAGCAAGTCTCCAGAGGCAGCACACCTCCCGTGAAGAGCCCGGCAGGCAGCGACCCGCTCACAGTGCCGGTGGGCGCCGAGATGGAGCAGGACCAGCAGCGCAGGGCGTCTCACCTTCCCGCTCTCATGGTACAGGAACAGGTTCCGGGTGTGGTTCTCGGTCCTGTAGGTGATCTGCAGCCCGTGGGGGTGCCCTATCTTCTCTGTTTGAAAAGTGGCATTCAAGTCCTTGATGCTGATGACAGCTTTGGGGCCTTTATCCTGAAAGATCACGGCAGTGGTCAGCAGAGTGACTTTTCATCACTTGAACCAAAGTTCTAATGCAAAGAGAAAACCAAGGTGCAAATTGCTTAAATGTTCTTGGCCTAAGATCTTCCCGTCCCCACTCCTCAGTACTAGGGGATAAACACAGGGCCTTTGCACTGAGCCACACCCTTATGCCTTCTTTACTTAATATTTTGAGAAAGGATCACACTAAATCACTGAGCTGCTTAGGATAGGCTTGAACTTGTGGTTCTCCCGCCTTGGCCTTCCAAGTATCAGGGGTCATAGGCATGCACCACCATCTCTGGCCAACAGCAATACTCATTGCTGTTTTTCTCCAATGACTATTGGAAGACTATTCTCTTTAAAACAAAACAAAACAAAACAAAACAAAAACTTACTATGAGAAATACTAAAACTACTTCAAAATCTTTTTGTCAATATTCTTCTTAACTTAAAAGAAAAGAAATATGTCATTGCCAGGTTAGGGTGTAGCTCTGTGGTAGGGCTCTTGCCTAGCAAGCATGAGGCCCTGCCTTTGTCTCCAGCACCTCAAAAGAAAAAAAAAAAAAAAAGACATAATAAAGCCAATTCCTTTAAGTAAGACTCACCTCCCCTGTTCTGCATTCCCCAAGGCAATCCTGTCAAGGGTTTGTTGTTTCTCCTTCTAGTTCTATTTTTTTTATACTTGTATTCATATATCCACAAATAATCTTTAAACAATTCAGTGGTTTTTTATGTGGCTCTAACTCACATATATGATACAGTTGCGCATGGACCGTTCTGTCTTGCTTTTGTTAACTCAGTTTATTTCTGACATCTGCCCGTGTTGAATACACTCTTCCGGTTCGCTTTTGTGGCTATACCAAAAGTAATCAACCTACTTTCCTACTGACCTACATTGAGATTATTTCTGGTTTCCTGCTATCAAAATGCCGCACCCAGCTTGTGTCCCTTGTACACATCCATCATCAGAGTTTCCGTAGGTCACAGTGTGCAACTCTGCATAGAACTGGAAGATTGAAGGGTTATTTTGTTTTTTGTCTTTTTTGAGACAGGGTCTCCCTATGCAGCTCAGGCTGGCCTTGAGCTCACTTTGCAGTCCAGGCTGATTTTGAACTCACAAAGATCCTCCTGCCTCAGCCTCCCGAGTGCTGGCATTACAGGCCTGCGTCACCACACCTGGCTGGAGGTCAAAGTTTTGAACATCTTCAATTCACTGGGGACAGCTAGCTTACTCCATGGATGGCTCCACAGTGACTGTACTTAGATTTCAATCACTGACACAGAAGACGTCATTTAACACGACTGAGCTTTAGTTACATCCTCATGAATCTGCAACACAGATTTTTAAATTTTTGCCAATACAATGGGTTCAAAAATTATACCTCATTGTTAATTTTCACTTAATCAAGTTTATTGAGGTAAAACTTATGAGAATTTTAAGAATAGTTTGGGTGGGTGTGGTGGCACATGCCTATAATCCTAGCATTTGGAACACAATGAATTCCAGAAAAACTTGTCTTAAAAAAAAAAAGCAAAACAAAACAAGGGATGGGGGTGTAGATCCACGTGAAGACCCTGGGTTCAACCCCCAGTATAGAAAGAGAGCAAGAGAACTTAGATTTTATTTATTTATTTATTTTATGTATTTATTAGCACAGGGTCTACAGGGTCTCACTACACAGATTGCACTCATAGTGATCCTCCTGTTTTCAGCCTCCCACACGCTGGGATTACAGGCATGCACCAACATGCCCAGTTGCAGTGGATGCCTTAGGGTGCCCCAGGGGTGGGCCAGCCTGGCATGCTGCAGTGGGAACCCTGGTCCCTCCCTGCGCATGTCTAAGCAGGCTGAGCTAGTTAGTCCGCTGAGCTATTTGGTCGGCCCTGAGAACTTAGATTTTTGACAAATATATATTTACATAATCCCTACAACAATCAGAACATAAAGCATTACTATCCCCTTGAAAGAGTTCCCTCCCTCCGCTATCAGCCTACTCCACTCCAACCCCAGACCACCACTTATCTGCCTTCTACTGTAATAGGATGCTTTTACCTGTTCTGGAATTTCCTGGAAATGGGGTTACACAGCACGCTTCTATAAGGCTTCTTTTGCTCAGAATAATGTTTTTGCGATTCATCTGTGTTTACTGGTATTCTGTTGCTTTTTATCGCTGAGTACTATTCCTTTCTACAGATCCACTAATCTTTATTTGTTCAGTGGTAGATGGACATGTGGGTTCTTTCCAGGTTTGGAGCACAAGCGAAGCTTCTTCTGTGAACACATTGTGTACACAGCATTTCCAGAACAGAGACTTTTGTTTCCTTTCTGTAACTACCTCGAAGCGGAATGGCTGGTTTATATAGTTAAGTGTGTATTTAGCTCTCCTAAAACCTGCCAGATTATTCTCCGAGCAGGTTGTCTCAGATACAGAAGCCCCTGCAAGGCATGAGAGCGCCAGCTGTTCCCGGACCTCAGCATCTAGGGCTGGCAGCATTTTTAACTTTAGTCTCTGTGGTGGGTACAAAGTTCACCGCGTCCCACGGTGATTCTAATTTGCATATCACTGTGAGGAGACACTGTGTGTGTGTGTGTGTGTGTGTGTGTGTGTGTGTGTGTGTGTGTGTGACAGCAGTTTCAACCCAAGCTCTCACCCTGAGTTACACTCCCAGTCCCTGTTCTCTCTCTCTCTCTCTCTCTCTCTCTCTCTCTCTCTCTCTCTCTCTCTCTCTCTCTGAGACAGGGTCTCCCCGAATCAATACTATGTTCCTCCCCACCACCCCTGGGCTCCACCCTGTGATCTCCTGCCTCGGCCTCACACAGTGCTGGGATTACTGGCATGCGCCCCAGGCACCTTTTATCTTTCCCTCTCCTTCCTTCCTTTTCTTTTTCCCTCTGTTTTCCTTTCTCTTTTTTTTCAGCTTCGGTACTGGAAAAGCAACCCAAACCCAGAGAGTGCTGAGCTACATTCGCAGTCCTTTTATTTTTATTTTGTTTTTGCTTTTCTTGGCAGGACCAGGGATCAAACTCAGGACCTTGCACTTGCCAGGCAGGTGCTTACACCGCTCAGCTACAACCCTGGCCCTAACCCTTTTATTTTTAATTGTGAGGCAGGGTCTTGCTAAATTGTCCATGTTGGCCTCTAAATTCCAACCCTCCTGCCTCAGCCGCCTCAGTAAGGAAGATTACAAGCCCCTCCACACCTAGCCTGGCTTTCTCTTCTGTGGAAGTCCATTTCCTTTTCCCATTTTCCCAATGGATTGTCTTTTGTTTCTTTTCTTTTTTTGACTGGTCCATGTGGCCTGTGGTGCCAGGGATTGAACTGCGGTCCCCTGGGCCTGCCTGAGCTTGTCTAAAGCAGGTGCTTTAGACCGCTGAGCTGTCTAGCCGGACCCTCTTTTTCTCTTTCTTCTTCTTCTTCTTCTTCTTCTTCTTCTTCTTCTTCTTCTTCTTCTTCTTCTTCTTCTTCTTCTTCTTCTTTTTTTTAGAGCAGAATATATTTATTGGGGGAAAGAAAGCTTCTGTCCAAGAAAGGGACAGAAAGGGAGCTCTGAGAGGATTGTCCCTCTTTCTTCTTGATTTATATATTTTTTAAAAATAATATGCCTTAGATAATAATATTACATTGAACTATTTTATGAGTTTCAGTTTCTTTATTACTTTACTTTTCTATTCTTTTTCTTTTTTGGGGGGAATTTCACTGTATTCCATGAACTTAGGCACAAGCAACCCTTCTGCATCAGCCTCCCAAGTAGATGAGGCGACAGGTACCCCACCACGCCTGGCTTACTTTTTGTATTACTCAAAATTTTTACATAAAAATAAGTTCCATTAATAATAATAATATGTGCTCGCTTCGGCAGCACATATACTAAAATTGGAACGATACAGAGAAGATTAGCATGGGCCCTGCGCAAGGATGACACGCAAACTCGTGAAGCGTTCCATATTTTTTGGTGTTTGTAAATAGGATCACAAGTCCGCATCTTGTACAGCAATTAACCACTAAGAAGAATATATGCAGTGTGTTATTTGTTGAAACTGTACTTCCGATTTGATTTGAAACTGTCTCATTGCTATCTGTTTATCAATAAAACTTTGAAAAAAAATAATAATACCCTTCCATTTAGGGAAAGATGAAAATGAACCCACTTTGCTCTACACTAAGCTAACTGAAAAGCACACCAAAGTTTTTTGGGGGCCCTGGGGATCGAACTCAGGACCTTGCATTTGCCAAGCAGGTACTTGTACCACGGAGCTATCTCCCAGGCACACTGACCTTTTCTAACCAAGGATGAGACCCTGTCCCCAGGCCAGCTCCCACAGCCACCCACTGAAACCGGGCATGGTGGTACATGCCTATCATCCCAGCACTGAGGAGGCTGAAACAGGAGGATCACTATGAGTCTGAGCTGCGGAGTGAGACCCTATACCAAATACATTTTAAAAAACGATTAAAACAAAATAAATGCAAATGAGACTAAGTGGTCCAGTTGATGACACATGGCACCCACTGCTCAGATTCCTGCCCCACAGGATTCTGGGGCTAGTAATTTGATGCTTTGTGTATGTTTTGTTGTTTGTGTTGCTGATGATTGAATCCAGGGCCTATGCCAGCTAGGTAAGCACTCTACCCCTGAGCTATACCCCTTAGGTCGTTTTAAAACTATTATATTTTAGGGTGGTTTATTACTCAGTAACAAATAATCAAATACTCTACCTTTGAACATCTTTTCCTTGCATAATTGATCCTGGCCACTCCCATTGCTAAGCCAGTCCACGTGCTGATAACTCCAGCTTCCAACTTGATCCAAAGCTCCAAATGCATCATTTAACATGCTTCTCAGTTACTGTACTTGGATGACCAGTAAGACCTCAAACTGAAAGGGACCCTCGATCCTGCCTTTTAGAGGGCTAATCCTCTGCTGTCTCAGCAAATGGTAAATCTGTCACGTTGTTGGGAGGGTTGACACTCCAGGAAATGGAACTGAGCACACTGGCGCAGGCCCGTCAACCCAGCTATTCAACAGGCTGAGGCAGGAGGATTGCTGTGAGCTTGAGACCAGCCTGGGCTGTAGAGTAAATTTAAGACCAGCCTGAACTAGCTGGGTGTGGCAGTGCATGCCTGCAATCCCAGCACTCAGGAGGCTGAGGCAGGAGGATCCCTGTGAGTTCGAAACCAGCCTGGACTACAAAGTGAGCTCAAGGCCAGCCTGAGCTGCACAGTGAGACCCTGTCTCAAAAAGACCAAAAAAAAAAAAAAGTGCAGAGAAGTTAGAAACTTTTACACCGGTGGGAAATTAGGGACTTGTAAAATGATGCAGTCATTTTCAAAAACAGTGTGGTAATTCTTCTAAAGGCTATCATATTACACATAATCCTATTCCTAGGTATAGGGAGATAAATGGAAACATAAGCACATGAAAATGGGTTTATGTTTGCCCCCAGCAGTGTTATTCATAAGAGCCAAACCATAGGGCTGGGGAGATAGCTCGGCAGTCTGCGCATGCCTGGCAAGTGCAAGGACCCAGATTCGATCCCCAGTACCTCATGCTGTGCTGGCCACTGAAACTGGGAGTGACAGCAGTGCAGACCTGTAATCCCAGCACTGGGGAGACTAAGGTAGGAGTGTCACTATGAGTCTGAGCCACATAGTGAGACTCTATGCCAAATACGTAAAAAAATAAAAATTTTTTTTAAAAGAACCAAACAACTCAAATGTCCCTCAACTGATGAGTGACTGAATAAAATGTCACATATGGTAGAATTTTATTGCACAATAAAAATGAGAGAGGTATTGAAACATGTTAAAACATGAAACTTGAAAACAGGCTAGCTGAGCCTACATATGTTGCATGCCTGTAATCCCAGCTACTGAGAAGGCTGAGGCGGGATTGCTCGAGGCTAGGAGTTTGCTGCCGGGACAATATAAAGAGGTCCCATTTCCAAAAAGCAAAGAAAGGTAGACTGGGAGGAAAGGAAAGGATAGGATGGGCTGGTGAGATGGCTCAGTGGTCTAAAGCACCTACTTAGAACAAGCTTAACAAAGCAGAGGGACCGCGGTTCAATCCCCCAGCACCACATGCCAGCCAGCCCCGCCCCCTGGTGGGCTGAGCTGGCCACACACACACACACACACACACACAAATAAATAAATTTAAAAAAAAAAGAAAGAAAGAAAAGGGGGAAAAATCAACTAAATAAAAGTAATCTGTTACAAAGGAACCCATATGGTATCATTCTGTTTATATGAGAAGTCCAGAGAAGGCAAACCCCAAGAGATAGAGCGTGGACTAGGAGTTGCCTAGAGCCAGGGGTGAGAGATTGTAGCTAAGGGTTGTATGGCTTCTTATAGAGGCTATAAAAGAGTTTTAAAAAAAAATTGATTGTAGGCCTGGCATGGTGGCACATACCTGTAATCCCAGCGCTCAGGAGGCTGAGGCAGGAAGATCACCAAGAGTTCAAGACTTAACCTGAATTACACAGTGATTCTCCATCCCAAAACCAAACCAAACCAAAACAAAAAAACAATTGACTCCATGAATATACTAAGAGGGATTTCTCCCATACTTTAAATGAGTGGATTATATGACTGTGGATTATGTCTCAACACAGTCTGGGCTTGATCTCCAGCACTGCAAACAACAAACTCAAGTCTTACTGCGGCCTACAAGATCCCCCACTGAGTGGCTTCACCTCACCCCATTTTCCCCTTGCTCTCTCTGCACTGGTCTCCTGGCCTCCTGAATGCCGTAGTCTCACCTATCACACTCCCAGCTTAGGGCCAGGTCTGTGGCGTACGGCTGAGCAATGTGTGTACTGTGCAGAGTGTGAACCGCAATCTGGGCTTCTGCCTAGTGAGCCTGGGGCCTGGGCCTCACCACCTCAGACCCCACATTTTCCCTAATTGGCAGAGGTACATGCGGCAGCCTCTGTCTTTTCTGACCACACTGTACAGCCCCCCACACACCCAGCATTCTTTGCCCCTCATCTTTCACTCTCCTTCCCAGAACCACTTTCTACCTGCTCCACTGACGTCAGGCCTTGGCCTCTGCCCACCTCCCTTTCACTGGAAGGAAAGCCCCATTACAGTGAGAGCTTTGTTTAGGCTACTGCTGTATTCTCCAGTGCCTAGAATAATGTCTACAAATAGTAGGTACTCAACAGATATTTCTTTTTTTTTTTTTTTTTTTGGTGGAACTGGGGATTGAACTCAGGCCCTTGCGCTTGCCAGGGAAGCACTTATTCCACTGAGCCATCTCCCCTCAACAGATATTTCTTAAGTGAGTGAATGAATATGGTCGAATGAAGTGATCACCGCAGGCTTTCATATGGACCACTCTCTGAGCATGGCAGTGCTCCCTTAGTCTGAGCTACTCAGGAGGCTGAGGCAGGAGGATTGCCTGAGCCCTAGTGTTTGAGGCTAACCTGAAGAACATAGTGAGACTTAAAAAGAAGTAAACAAATGACAAGGTGTGGTAGTGCATGTGTGTAATCCCAGCTACTTGGGAGGCTGAGACAAAGAGAATTGTAAGATCAATTTTTTTTTATTTGATACAGAGTCTCCCTACACAGTTCAGACTCATAGTGATCCTTCTGTCTCAGCTTCACCAGTGCTGGGATTACAGGCATGTGCCACCACACCCAGTTCTGAGACCGACCGGCATGCAGTACTGGGAATTGAACTTGGGTCCTTGTGCTTGCCAGGCAGGCACTTAGACTGCTGAGCTATCTTCCCAACCTGCTAGATCACACCAGCAAGGTGTGAGTCAGGCACTCAGGGAAGAAGAAAGCCCTGGCTTGCCTCTTACCTGGTCCTTGATGTAGTACTTGAGGAGGCCTTCTCCCGCCAGCAGGACAAACCTCCTCCTTAGATACTGTCCGTTGTCCCTTCCCCGCTTCCACAGGATTCCTTCACGATTACCTGACCCACAGGAATGGCAAGGAGTGAGCAACCCCGACCTTTGGACCCACAGGGGCTCTGAGCGCTCCACCTGTCACCCAGCTCCTCTGATCTGGCACAGCTATTTCAGCTGCAGCGCACAAGGTCCTGTCTGCAGCCAACCCTACCATGTCCTATCGTTTTGGGAGGACTCCCCACTGTGCAAACCCTTTCTTCCATGGTGCTCCAGGGAGCCAGGCTGTCCCATTAGGTGATATAATATACTCATATACTCACAGGAAAAGTAGAGCCTGAAAAATTGGATGAATTCTTTTTTATTTTTGGTACTGGGGATTGAACTTAGGACCTTGCCAGGCAGGCACTATGCCAATAAGCTATATCCCTGGACTTTGGTTTTTTGTTTGTTTGTTTGTTTGTTTTGTTTTGTTTTTGCAGAACCGGATATTGAACTCAGGCCCTTGTGCTTGCCAGGGAAGTGCTTATTCCACTGAGCCATCTCTCTGGCCCTCCCTGGACTCTGGATGGAGTCTAAAAAAGGCTAAATATGCACAGACTTGCTCCACTTCAGATCGCCAGTGGTCTGATAGGAATCTGGGGATTCTGAATGATCTGAAGACACCCACTAGTCTGAAGAATAATTTGCATTTCCCGTAGCAAAGAGTGTTGGACGTTGGTTTTCTCTGGTCCTCCCTGAGAGATTTCATGCTCTTTGTGGGTCAGTGTCAGCTTGGACTCTGGGCAGTGGGGCAAAAACTGCCATAGATCGAGGGTCATGGACAAGGTTTTGCCCTGCACAGGGAGGCTGAACCCAGCCCCTGTACCCCTCTGGTGGCTGAGCCTCGCCAGGAGCTGAACTAGCCAGGAACAGGGTGCCTTGCTCTGATGGCACTGCCAACAGCAGAGGCTTCCTGCAGCTACTAAGACTGTGACACTGTGGCCCTGCGAGGGCCTGAGACCCATCTGCTCCTCAGACCACAAGCCCCACTTGCCCTGTGCTTGCTGTTCCCAGGTACAAGAGCCTGTGCCTCGGTTGTAGGGACACCTCAGGAGAGCAGGCATCTTGTGGATGGATCCTGCTGCTAATACTCAGCATCGACAGAATACAGATCTCACAGAAAGCAACTTTACCTGGCAGGGAGACAGTTTTCCCATCAGCTATAAACTCCTGTCTCTCATACTTAGCTCGAATCCATTGCTCCTTTAAGACCCTAAGAGAGAGAAGCTCTGGTCAGCCATGTCTGCCATGGTTTCCTCCCCAGCACCAAGACCCAGAAGCCGAGGGTGGGAACATCACCAGCACTGCCTTCTTGCCTGCTCAGTACATCCGGGGCTTCTGACCTCAGGATGTTAACATCGGGTGCTAGGTTGCTCTTTGTTATGGGGGTTATGCTGCGCTTTGTAGGACATTCAGGGCTATATCTGGCCTCTGTCGATTAGAGGCCAGTTGCACCTGCTCCCCCATATATGATACTCAAAAGTGTCTCCAGACATCCCCCAGTGTCTCTAGGGAGGAAATATTTCTCTCCACCGGCTGAGACCCACTGGACTGTCCCAGCCCCAGCCCCTGCCCTCTGGGTCCTTACGGAAGGCACAGCTTCCTGGGCAGCTCCAAGACCCTCTCACTGTCATGAACGTGAGCTAGGAAAGTCCATAAGCCTCTTTCTACGCCTGGTCTTGAACCTCGAGCATGTGACAGTGGCAGGCAGTGGCCTTGGGCCTGACCACCTGGATCCATTCGTGGTCACTGTGTGACCAAGAACAAGTTACTTAATTCCTCCGAACTTGAGGAATACGCCAGTGGTGTTACATCTACCCATGCTGCAAGTCGGTTGAGAAGTCGAAACAAATGTAAGAGGCTCAGCGCCGTGACTGGTGCGGAGCAGGCCTTCAGTGTTACCTTCACCGGATACTGACATCCATGTCCCCCACAGGACAACCTACAGCCTAGGGTAGAATTATTTTGATTGTTTTGTTCCTTCTCACTTTCTCCAGGTATATGTTTGGATGATCTTGTGCGCCAGCCACCAGGGTGGCCTAGAGCTGGGCACTCAGAGCCCTGGGCTTCACTGCGATGGAGAGCCTGGCTGGACGCCCTCTTTGGGGCGGTGGTGGGTGGTGTAGCCTGGTATCTGGAAGTGCCCCTGCTGCAAGCCATGTGAGGAAAGCCTGGCTTAAGGGAAGATACAGGGACAACAACAGAGAATGCAAATGGCCTGACCATGTTTGTGGGCTTGGCTTGGTCCTTCCTGAGGGTGTCCCCACCTCCCTCCTTCCTGTGGTCTGATCCTCTTCAGCCTGAGCTAAGGGTCTCTATCACTTATAGTCAAGACCTGGTTTACACTAGGTCTCTATCACTGGCTTTGACTCTTACCCCCAGCATCCCGGAAAGAGTCACCAGGCACACTAGGAGGGTGGGAAATCCCAGGCCACAGGGTCGGAGCTGAGACAGGAACAGGGACATTGAGAAGGTTTAGACCTGCGGGGGGGGGGGGGGGTCATCAGTACTCAGCTCAAAGGGGCGAAAATTCAGGCTGTGCTGAAGTCGCGACAAGCAGCATCTGTGTGATGCTGGCACAAAGCCACACCCAGCAGGTGCTTAGCAAGTGCTTGGAGCAAAGTGCTGAGCTGCAGCAGTAAGGCAAAAGGAGACGGGGCCTTTCAAGTGGAGCTAGGCATACCCCTCAGCTGGCCGAGGAGCGGGCAGCATTCAACATTTGGAAACTGACACAGGAATGCATTAAAATTGTTGTGGTCAGGTGTGGATTACAAGGCGCATGCTTGTAATCCCAGCCTCTGGGAGGCTGAAACAGGAGCCTCGCAAGTGGCCAGCCTGGATTACATAGCAAGACCCTGTCGCAACAAAACAAAACAAAGCAAACACAAAACAAAAAACAAAACAAAAAACAAAACAAAATTAGTGTGTCCTATGGCCTATGAGAGGCTTAAACTAAATTTTCCCAGTTGACCTCTAAAACCGCACTGTGAGGCAGACCAGGGGGGTGGTTGAGTTGAAAAACAACAGGGAGGACTTGCGAATAGAAAGCTATACCAATCACCCTGCTACTCCCTACTTGCATCAGTGTCCCCGGGGTTATCTAAGGACTGAGGCAGTGCAGGGCCTCCAGACAGGTGGCTAGTTTGTGCACTGCTCAGAAGCACTTTGCAGAGAGAGTGAGCAAGGTATAGCTTGCTCCCTGTTGTCTGTGTCTGCCTGGAGGATCCCTCCCTCCCATTTACACAGGGCCCTGGTAGAAAGGCTGAGTCCTGGAGCAGGGTCAGGGCCAGGCAGTCAGGCCTTTGGAAATCCAAAGTACGTGGAAATCACCAGGTAGTAGTGTCACTCTGCCCTCCTGCCCTCCTACTGATTCATAACCCCACCACCACCATGACCTAGTAGATTCTCCGTCTCCCAGTCCCTGGTGTCAGCGTCCTATGACCCATGCTGTATCACAGGGATAACAACAATGCCCGTGGGGTCATGGAGAAAATGATGGAGAAAATGAAAGAAGGCATGTACGGTAGCATTTAGCACAGCGCCTGGTCTGCAGGAGAAGTCCAATGAATATTAGTAGCTACTACAATTTCTACAGTTAGAACTTAGGATCTCAGCTTAATGGAGTCTTTTGGAGCCAGCCTTAGGTAGGTAGGGCAGCCCTAGACCACACTCAATAGGAAGTAGCTGAAACACACTTGTTCTACTAAAACACCAACATTTGTCCCTCCTCTCAAATGTAGGCTACAGGAACATCAGAGGCAGCGAGCTACATCAGAGAGAAAACCCAACCGCTATGGAAAATGAGGCTCACTGAAGGGTAATAACATATCAGGACTAGAAGTACAGAGAAGCTTCAATCACCACCCCGTCTCTGTCTGCCTGTCTGTCAGTCTGTCTGTCACTTCCTGTCTCTTCCTCCCTCCCTCCTCCTTTCTGTTTGTTTTTGTGGTACTGGGGATCTAGCCAAGGGCACTTGGACTGAGTTCCCTCCCCACTCCCTTTATTTATCTATTTAGTTAATTAATTAGTTAGTTATTTTTGTAGGTACCAGAAATTAAGCTCAGGACTTCATGTTTGCCAAGGAGGTGCTGTGCCACTGAGCTACATCCCTGGCCCCTTATTTTTTTATTTCTTTAAAAAAATTTTTATTTATTTATTGATACAAGGTCTCACTACCCAGTTCAGACTCATAGTGACCCTCCTGTCTCAGCCTCCCCAGAGCTGGGATTACGGGCATGTGCTACCACGTCTCATTTTGGGGCTGGCAGAGCATGCCTGGGGTTCTGGGGCCAGCATGACATGCAGTACTGGGGATTGAACTCAGGTCATTGACCTTGCCAGGCAGGCACTTAGATGCTGAGCTGTCTCCTCAGCCCTTATTATTATTTTTATCTCTAAGACAGAGTTTTGCTAAATTGCTCACACTGGGTTTAAGCCTCAGTATCTCAGAGTGCTGAGATTACAGGCTGTATCACCAGGTCTGATTTCTTTTTCTTTTTGCAGTACTGGGGATTGAACCCAGGGCCTTGCACATGCTAGCCAAGCACTTCATCACTGAGGTCAACTCCAGCTCCCTTTTATTTTGAGACAGGTTTTCCTTCATTTACTCAGGCTGGTCTTGAACTTGTGATCCTCTTGCCTCAGCCTCCTGAGTAGCTGGGATTCTATGGTTGCACCAGTGCACCTTGCTGAACCAGGATTCTTAACCCATCCTCCACGGCAGTACCAAATGTATCCCTGGATCTACCTGCTGATGAGGTGGGGACCACCCAAAGATACCAGAGATAGGAGGGTGGGGAAGGTGGAAACAGGAAGACCCCCTCACTCTACCCCTAAGAAATGGCCCACTCACAAGCAATCATTGGCCTGGGGGATGTAGTAGAAAGCTGGGACTCTGGCTTCAAACTTGGCCTTCACACGGAGGTTTCCATTGTGGCTCATAAACTGCAAGACAACAGTTACTACAGCTCAAGTGAGAACTTGAAAAAAAAATGAGAAGTGAAACTATGGTCTACCCAGAAGGCCACCCACTTCACTGGCCCCTGGCTGGGTCAGAAGACACCGCCTCCTAGAAGGAGACTGCCCACCAGGTGTGGTCACCACCACTGTGGGTAAGTCCCAGCATGCAACGGCCAGGGTCAGACAACCTAGTTCTTCCACAGCAGTTCAGGGCAGCCCCATGGCCTCCCCATTTTCCTGCTCTCATCCTCACATTAGAGTTCAGGAAACCGAGACTCAGAGAGCTGAGATGAATTGCCCAAGCCAGTCAGTGTAGCAAGTAAATGGAAAATTGAGATTCAAACCCAGCCCCGTGGGATCCCAAGCTTATGTTCTTTCTCCCACTTCCTCCATTGATGGCCAGGACCCCCCAGTGATCCCAAAGGTCTGAAGAAGACCCAAGCCACTGTAGGGTGAAAGAAGTGGGAGCTGGTCCCATAGATATATAGGTCAGCAGGACCAGTGGCTGACAGACCAAGGGTGGACATGCCAGCAGCAGATCTAGGGCAAGGGCAGAAGGAAGAATCACCAGGCTGCTAATGCACATCCCCTGGGCAGCATGAACTCCAGCCTCCTTCCCCCAGGAGAATTCCTGGGCTTTGTCCCAGGTTGTGCACCAGTTTTGGGCTCTCACAGAGCAGAGCTCAAGTCCTGACTCTGCCCTTTAGTCCGTGAGAGACCCTGGGTCTTTTACTCTTGCAAAAATGAAGGAAAGAGGACAGAGGAATCATGAGACACAAATAAAACCCACAAGGACCCTGTGCCGGTGCATGGCTTTCCCGGCCCCGATGCACAGGAACCTCCCTGAGCACCAAGCACACAGTGGGCTCACAGGAGCTATGTGCTAAGTGAGCCACCCAGCTCAATGGTGTTACATCCAGTTCCCAGTAGACAGTAGGCATTCAGTAATGTCATCTGATCCCCCAGTCACGACTGAATCCTTCAGCAAACCAGCAGAACATGGAAATGCCAGCTCTCTGAAGGCTTTACTGCCCACAATGGCATTACCACCCAGACTGAGAGCAGCCTTCATGCCTATAGGATGGGAGGCCAAAGTAGTCCTTTTCCTGGCTGAGGGAAAGAAGGAGAGGGGCATAGACCAGAGACCAGGATATTTCCCACCCCCTGGTCTAGGGTTCCCACTAATGACAACAGCAACTGTTAATCAATATCTTATTGGTGCCTGGACCAAGCCTGTATTGAATTCTTATAGGAGGCCTGCAAAAGCGTGGGGTCTGCCCATACCACCACCATGGAATGGTGGAAGATGCAGAAGTAGTTAGTATTAAGTAACCAGCTAGTGCCTCAGAGGTGATGAGTCAGGATTTGAACTCAGGGCGCTTGTGTAAGCCTCCCTCTGCGAGGCTGTGTGCCCTCTCCTTAGCTGTGCCCCTCTCCCGGGCTTCAGTGTCCGCCCACCCCCCCAAGTGACTTAATCCCAGCTCTTGCTTTCAGGATCTGCATGCGACCGACCGCCTTTCTACCTCCACGAGGCTGTCGTCCCAGAAGTCAAGCCTCACAGATTTGACTTTGCTGATGTCAGGGAAGTTGCGGTGGACGCCGGAGCAGTGGAGACAGATGAAGATCCCCAGCTTGTAAGAGGCCCAGTCAGGATCTGCGGGGGGTGGGGCGGGGGACCTGAGTTTAGCGGAGCGGGATAAGGAGTCCAGGGTGGGCTGAGGCCGTAGGGGGCCGTGGCCAGTTCTGCTTGCGCGGGACCCTTTTTCTCTTGGTCTTCCCACCTTGAGCCATTACATCACCAGCAGAAACCTTGCGGTCAGCGCACTCACGGTGGACGAAGCCTTTGGAGGTACTAAGGGGTTGAAGGCGGCAAGCCAGGCAAGCGACAGGACCGAGGGGGAACCCGGAGGACTGTGCAGGAGAGACCCACATCGCGTAGCAGCGGGGAGGTCTGAGCCCGGGCAAGGGGCTTGGGAAGCCGGGAGGGTCGGGGAGAGGCGCCGGGGGTCTCGGGGTCCCTCGGTGGGTGGGGTGAGAAGTCCCGGGGACCGGAGAGACGGCATAGGGACGTGGGTGTCAGGTTAGGGTGCTAAGCGGGACACGAGGGAGCACGGCTCGGGATCATGCCTTGGCCTGGTTCCGAACGAGGAGTCCTGGTTAGGGTTAGGGTGGGCGGGGCGGGCCTGGGACGCTTTCGAGGGAAGAGTCCCCCAGGTGCGGGGTGCGGAGTGCTGAACCGGGTCCGCGCGCTGGGGTCCCAGGCCACCCCCGCCCCTTGCCCCTCGCCCCTCGCCCTCACCCGGAGCCCCACAGTCGGCGCAGAGAGCGTTGCCAGTGTCCGCCGCGCGCAACATCTCCAGCAGCCGCTTCTTGTTGCGTTCGCGGTCGCCCATGGCCGGACCACCCGCTCCGCCCGCTGAGCTCAGCTGCAGCCGGGCCGCCCCGCCCCGCCCCCGGCAAAAGCCCTGCCCCGCCCCGCCTCCCGGCTG